AACAGCGTGCAGGCTGGAGGCAAAGGTAAGGGAAGGGCCGGAGGTCCAAATAGAATGGAACTTGGGTCCACAAAAGAAGAGTTGTAAGAGATTTGGTAATCAATCGAACCCGGGGCAGAAATTTAAAAGGGTCGGAAGGTGTCACGTCTGTGGAGAGAYGGAACACTATGCTCGTGAATGCAAGGACCAAAAGTCCGGACCCCCTGCTGCTAATTCTGTTGAGAGGATTCAACACCTTGTGGCGAATCTCCATATGAAAGAGATTGATATGATCTCAGAGGCCTCTATAAGGATTGTGGCTGGAAGAGGTGGCTAGTACTTGCACTGTGGAGCCACTGTTCATGTTTGTGACTCCAGGTCCAAGTTTGTTGAATATGGATCGACTCGAGATGGGAATCAAGTGATAGTTGCTAACAACGACCGTGCGAATGTCGTTGGAATGGGTACCGTACTACTGAAGTTCACTTCCGGCAAGACCGTCACTTTCCGAAATCTTCTTCACGTGCCTTCTATCAACAAGAGCCTCGTCTCTGTAAGCAAACTCGATGAAAACGGGTTTGCAATAAATATAAAGGAAGCTCGTGATATACAAGAGGAAGATTTTCATTGGAAAGGGATACTACCAGTTGGGTATGTATCACCTGTATCTGAGTGAGGATGGTAGCRAGGAGGTCGAAACTAGTGATTCAGTAGGAAGTAATGTTTTAACCATGCCTGAAGAAGTTTCAAATTTTTCTGTTTTTACTATTGAAAGTGATGTAATTCCCGACGTTTTTAATAAAGTTATTTCTTCGGATTATTTTGTTTGTTCAATTTCTTTATGGCATAAACGTCTTGCGCATACAAATGTAAGAAATATTGAAAAAATGCATAACAAATGATTAATCAAAATTGATAACAAAGATTTTGGAAAGTGTGAAACTTGTGTAAAATCAAAATTTACAAAGAAACCTTTTCCTTCTGTTAAAAGGGACACATCAATTTTAGAGTTGATTCATTGTAATATTTGTGAATTAAATGGAATACTTACCCAAGGAGGTAAAAGGTATTTCATTACTTTTTGTGATGACTTCAGTCGTTTTTTACAAGTTTATTTGTCACACTCAAAAGATGAAGCTTTTGAAGCATTTAAACTCTATAAAGCTGAAGTCGAAAATCAACTTGAAAAACGAATAAAAATACTTCGATCAGATAGAGGTGGTGAATATTTTAATAGAGAATTTGATACATTCTGTGAAAAGAATGGTATCAAACATGAACGGACCTAACCATTTACTCCTCAACAAAATGGCTTGGCGGTACAAAAGAGCCAAACCCTGGTTGAAATGGCCAACTGTATGTTGAACCAATCAGGGTTGCCTAACAATCTCTGGGGAGAAGCCCTGTTAACGGCTTGTCATATTCATAACTGAATCACTAGTCGTGTGATTCCAACTAGCCCATATGAGCTCTGGAGAGGAAGAAAACCAAATTTGAACTATCTAAGAGTTTGGGGTTGTATTGCATACTATCGAACTCCTGATCCAAAAAGATCTAAATTGGGATCCCGTGCTATTAAAAGCATATTCGATGGATATGCAATAAATAACAAGGCTTATAGATTATTAGACAAAGAGTCAGAAGTTTTAGTAGAATCTAGGGATGTGGAATTCTTTGAAGATAGATTTTCAGAAGATGCTGAAAGATTAGAACCAACATTGGCCTCTAATCCCTCTTGTTCATCTCGTGCTAGTTCCAAAACCTCTAAACAGGCTGACAAACCACGAAGAAGCACAAGAGTGAGAAAAGAGAAAATTTTGGGAAATGACTTTTTCTCATACTTGGTAGAAGGGACACAAAAGAAAATGACAAGAGAATTCATTTTCTCTATCAGTACTGAAGAGAATCCCAAGACATTTAAAGAGGCCATGACTTCAAGGGATGCTCCACTATGAAAAGAATCAATAAATGATGAGATGGACTCTATCTTGGATAATGGAACTTGGGTGATGGCAAATTTGCCCTCAGGGGTGAAACCAATCGGTTCCAAGTGGATATTCAAAATAAAGATGCACCTTGATGGTTCAATATCATTCTTCAAGGCTAGATTGGTGGCAAAAGAATATAGACAGAAAGAGGGAGTCGATTATTTCGACACCTATGCTCCAGTTGCTAGAATTAGTTCCATTCGAACTCTTATAGCAATTTCCACCATAAAAGGACTGTATATTGACCCAATGGACGTGAAAACAGCTTTCTTGAATGGCTATTTAAACGAGGAGGCTTACATGGAGCAACCTGAAGGATTTGTAGTACCTGGACAAGAGAATAAAGTGTGCAAACTTGTTAAATCTCTATACGGGTTAAAGCAAGATCCTAAACAGTGGCACGAAAGGTTTGATACGACTATCACATCTTTCAGGTTCCGACATAATGGGGCTGACCGATGCATCTACTCAAAATACACGAGAGGGTACATTGTGGTAATCTGTCTTTATGTTGATGATATGTTGATCATCATAACCAATCTAGATGGTATTCTTGAGACAAAAGGGTACTTATCCTCGAACTTTAATATGAAAGATCTTGGAGAAGTAGATACCATCTTTGGGATAAAGACCAAAAGGTCAGCATCTCAAATCTCTCTATGTCAATCTCACTACATAGAGAAGATACTAACCAAGTTTCAACATTTGAATATATAAGGAGTTTAACACTCTGTTTGATTCAAGTGTGAAACTCGATAAAAATATTGGTATAGCAGTGGTTCAGCTAGAATATGCTAGTGCAATAGGATGCATGATGTATGCAATGCATTGCACTAGACCGAACATTGCTTTTGCTGTGAGTAGACTGAGTCAATATACCAGCAATCAGGGTTTATATCACTGGAAAACAATTGGCAGAGTATTGGGCTACTTGAAAAGAACCCAAGAACTAGAGTTGATATACTCAACGCATCCAGGAATCTTGGAGGGATATTCCGATGCCAGTTGGAAAGATCACTCAAGTGATTCTAAATCCACAAGTGCATGGATTTATACTCTTGCTGGAGGGGCGATTTCTTGGGCGAGCAAGAAACAAACGTGTATCGCCCATTCGACTATGGAAGCCGAATTCATTTCCCCAGCGGCAACGGGCAAAGATGCCAAATGGATTAGAGATTTGTTAACAGATATCCATTTCTAACCTCGACCGACTTTTCTATTTCCATGCATTGTGACAGTAAGGCCACACTGTCAAAAGTATACAATGCCATATATAATGGGTAGTTGCGACACATAGGTCTCCGACACAACTACGTGAGACAACTTATTGATGATGGTACCATAAGTATTGTGTTTTCAAGTCTTGTGGGAACTTGGCAGATCCACTAACCAAGCCTCTGACGAGAGACTTGGTAGGGTCAACAACCAGAGACATGGGTCTGAAGCCACGTAGAATCAGTTAGTGATGGAAACCCAACTTGGATATAGTGCTCCTATCTACCAAGTTTAAAGGGTAACAACAAGTCACTTGACTGATAAAAGGTACTATCAAATGATAGATCCATGTAAGGTGAAATATAGTATGGCATTGTCGAGAACAATGATGAGTTAATCTCTTAACAAAGTTTAGAGGCATCTTAACAACGAAGATGTTATAGAACTTTGCCTATATGACTTAGAGGTGGTGCYGCCTCAAATGAAGAGTAGTGGTTTCTCTTTTAGTAAGTCATGAAACAGGGTTTAGCGCATGGCCATATTAGCGCTCAGTGAGAGAGCAAGGTTGATAGATGATGTGTGTAAGTAAGTCGGAGTGGTTGCAAGATTCAAGGTTTAAATCCTAAGGATACCATTGGATTGATCCCTTCTTGCATACTTACATTAAACAGGGTTTAATTTTAGTGACACCACTGTAACATTATCTACAATGAATGTCAGAAAACTTTCCAACCTGGTGGGAAATTGTTGGAAATTTTGTGGGTTGAAAATTTGTCTTCCATCCCACATTGGTAGAAAAAGATTTTCTAGAGTAGCTTATAAGGTTTTCTCTAGAAATGAGTTTTGAACAAGTTGGTGGACTCATGGTGGGGGTCTTGAGTGGAAGGCCCAACACACATGTGTGCGCGGGCGCGAGATTCGCGAAGGTGGCGCGAGAAGGCGCACTTTGCACTTCTGCATCCATCGTGCTCTATTTTCGTTTTTATCGTTGTTCATAAACGAAAACCCGTCGGAAATTATGAATCACTGACGGAAAACAAATTAATCGATTTTTTGCAACGGATTTAATAATTAAAAAATAAAAATTTAGAAAATTAAATATCTGTTGCATACACTGACGGATTTGCATCCCGTTAGTAATCCTTTGTAATTCACTGACGGTTTTTTGTAATTTTTGTGTTTTTATTTGTATGAGGTTTACTTTGATTTATTTTGTATAAGTTGTTATGTGTATATGTATATGTATGTATGCATGTGTCGTATATGTTAATTGTACATACAAGTACTGTTGAAAAATAATTCGAGTAAAATATATGAAACAAAATAAAGTTTTAATCTTTATAAAAACTTTAAATCTTTAACGGACAAAATTAAACCTTTTAACGTTCAGAACCCAAAACACCTCAACAGAGTGTCAATTCACACAGATTGAATCTATTCTTCGTGATAAATTCAATAAATGAAATGAGTAGAATCAGAGTTGTTCACTTAGTGAACAAAAAATTAAATACAATGCAATAAATATAAAACCAACCTGGTTAAACTGTTGATTTGAACTGTCACGGTAAAACCTGTCCTTAAAAATTTTATAACACAACTCTTTACATGTTGTGAGTCTGCTATTCGCAAAGCCCCGAGATTTTGATGTATTAATTTTGTAGTAGTAAAATTAGGTTCCGACTTTCATCTGAATTATGGAATTGTCCTTACCGGCCTTTTCTTCCATGAGGGAATATATATTATTAGTAATGAATAAAAAAACTGATCACAATCTTCCTACCGAAAACAAGGAACAGCAAAATATCTTAGAAAAGGCCACTAGCTGTCTGAAGCAGCAAATTTCTTATGAGGGTTTATACATGCCAAGATCGACGGTTTTTGCTTCTTCGATTTTACCCCAAAGATGAACGACCGTAATGGCACATGTGGACGATGTTGTCTTTCGCCATTGCTATGATCCAAAAGTCCAAACTCCTCCTCTAACCTTCTTAACGTCTCTTCTGTTTCAACTTTCATGGCAGTAACATGATCTAAACCAGCTTCAAGTTCTTCGTTAACTTTGCAGTTTTCTTGTTGCATGTTCAATACCTCACCTTGAAACTTTGCAGCTTGATGTGTGCTGAACTTGATCTCTTCTTCTTCCATACCTTCCTTCAAAGCTGTCGTTATTTCCTCTTGGATGTTCGATAACGATGAACATCTTCGTTGTAGCTCGTTCTTCAGCGATGCAATATTTTCTAAAAATATCATAAGTTCGTTATGTATCTCTTTAAGGTGTTTGTATATCGGATTGATATCTGACCGTATATCTTTTGAGGATGTCGATATGTTTGATTTCGGTTTGGTTTTCGCTTTAGTAATCTCTTGTTGAAGATCTTCCACCTGTTTCTTGAATTTCTGTACTTGATGGAATGCAGTGCTGAATCTTAACCAAAAATCAAGATTTTCATCAAGAATCACGTCGATGTCCGTTCTAAGCTTTTCTTCGATCTCGGATACGGGTTCGGATTTGTTGTTAAAGATCGATAGTTCCTCGACTCCATCTTCTTGAACAAGTTTGAGGTTTTGTTTAATCTGCTGGATTTCGGTATCTCTTTTTGCTAGTAGGGTTTGCAGGTTTCTTAGTTGCAGGTTGGTTTCCAAGATGTTTTCTTGTCTTTTTTGCTCTTCTTCTGCTAGTTCTTTTTTTGCAGCTTTGTATTTCCTCAAGATACTTGTATACTCTTGTAAAAGAACCTTTTCTTTGTCATCTAAACCACCCAACAACAATTCTTGCCAATTCGTCTCATCTCTTTCTTCTGTGTCAGATATACCGGTTTCCTTTGGTTTGATCGGGTTATCTTTGATATTTGTAACCATCTGATCTTCGCAGTCAATTCTCACTTGCGATTCAGGTTTTAGATCATCATCTTTTATCTTTGTAACCATCTGATCTTCACCCTCTATTCTGGCGTGTGATTCGGGTTTTAGATCATCATCTTTGATCTTCATAACCATCTGATCTTCACCCTTCATTCTCACTTGTGATATGGGTTTTAGATCATCATCTTTGATCTTTATAACCATCTGATCTTCACCCTCCAATCTTGCTTGCGATTCGGATTCACCCTCCAGTTCCATGATCATTTGCTTTGCCGGTTCATCTTCATCAGGCTTTATATTATGAAGGTTTTCGGACAAATGATCGAGGCTGCAACGGGCTTGGCTAAACTGCATCTTGATGCTGTTATTTTGATTCTCAATTTTCTGGTCCAAATCTTGCACCCCATTCAGTTTTTTTTCCATTTCCTTCAAAGTTTTCCCCAAATTATTCGTTCCATCTATCAAGTTTGCTTTATCATCTTCCAAATTCCGAATCTGTATCTGAAGATCATCTGATTCTGTCTTTAATCTGTCGATAAGCACCGTCTGAGATGAAACCAACGATTCTAAGCTAATCACCTTGTTCACGAGCTTATCCACAGTTTCTGCCAATTCTGTAACGGTCAAAGGTTTCTTCGACGGGTTTTCTTCGATCTCTGGCTCACTTTCAACCGAGTTCCACAACTCCTTTTCAAGTTTACGATCTTCTTCTTTTTCGGCATCGTTTGTGTGTTTAAGGGACTCGAGTTTCTGTTTCATATTCTGAATCCTCTCGTGCTCCAATCCAGCGGCTTCGGTTGATTTCTTTTGTGTCTCTTGTAACTTAGCCAAAGTCTCATCACACGACTTCAATGCAGCCTCCGCCATTATAACACGGGCATCATCGTCCTCGATGCTTTTCGCAACCTTAAACTCGTCCTGCAAACTGCAAACTCGTTGTTGCATTTCAATGATGGTTTTCTCGATTTCCCATAACTTGGCAACCCCGTTTTCGTACGAGCTTTTCGTGAACTCCTTCATGGTTTGCATCGAAAGAATATCCTTTTGAAGCTTATCTATCTCTTCGATAGCCTCGTTTTTCGTCAAACCCAATCTCCCAAGATCCAAGTGATCATCTTTCGTCACTTTCTTGGCTTGCATTTTCTTCATGATTTTGCCTTCTGGGAGTTTTGGGGCCTTTGGTGGATCTGAACCTATGTTTTTGGGGTTCCTTAGACCGTTGTTGTTATCGTCATCTTCGTAGTCCGTGTCATACGTTAGTTGGTCCGGAAAAACCGAAGCGATTGTGGTGTTTGCCTTTTGCAAGTCGGTAGAGAGTTTATCGTATCGTTCGGCTAATGCTCGATAAGCTCGAACGCTCTCCTCAATGAAGGCGATCAGCTCCGGCCGGTGCTTGTAGTACATTTCGGCCCTCTTGGCGAAAGAATCACCATCTTTTTGAACAAGGTTGAGGGCATTGGCAACCTTTTCTTCCATATCTGCAATTTATTTTACGCAAGTTTTTGTTAGCGATGATAGGAATAGAGAGTCTTACCCGGTAAGTGATGGTGAGGACTCTTACCCGATAAGCGTTTACCTGATAAATTGTTGCATACGATACCGTTTTAATATACTAGGATCTTATCTGATAAAATAGATTATAGTGTTGACTCCTATCGATAAGTGTTTACCGGATAAGGATTTGGATAAACCACCCCTTACCCACAATAAAATGTTTAGTAAACATTCAATCCTTCCCATATGGGCTACACATACATCATCAACCTTCTTCTCTCTATCTCTATGTAAGAACCCTTTTAGAAAGATATTTAGATAGGATTTGAAAATGAAATTTGTTTGGTTCGACGGATCAATGCTTGAATTTGAAATCCTATAAAGGTGGGGTTTAGAAATCTCATTGGTTAGTTGGTATTTCACTATATTTTTTTTACAAATTTTAATTATAATAATATTTTAAAATATGTTAAAAATATTTGTTTTAATACTCAAGTACTAAAAAGTTAAGTTAATTATTTTTATAATCCGTTTTATAAATTATTTATAATGAATGAAATATAATTACATTCCAAATGCTATAAAACCAAATAAACAAAGATTACAGATACTTTCAAATCCAAATCCCTTAAAAACATTTCGTCAAACCATACGGATCATAAGGATTTCAAATCCAAACATAGGATTGAGATGAAATTAAATTCCAAATTTCATCAAATCCCGCAAACGAAACGGAACCTAAAAACCGATTTGGTTTGCAGGATTTGGTGGGATTTAGAGTTGGATTTCAATTTCACGTTTGGTTTACAAACAATTACCCCAACACTAGTACGAATTTTATCTATTTGAATAACGTTAGAATGATGCTAAAACCAAACCAAACATACCCGATCAAAGGTAGAGCATCATAGGGAAGGTTTGGACGACATTAGAGATGGGCAAGGACCAAGATATGTTGGTCTGATATTGTCATGGCCTGTGCCCATCTTTAATGACATTATTAGAGGTAATCATAAAATCTTCTTCAAATGAACACACAAAAGGTAAAAGAGAAAGACCAAGAAAGAACAAATGAGAGATAGTTAATCGGGATAGTTTACGTATGATTTTGGGTTGGTTTCCCATAGATCACCAGTGGGGTTCATGGGGTTAAGGGCTCAATATGATCAGTTGAAGTACTGTATACATGCTGGCTCGGATGGCTGGACACCCACAATTATTAAAAGAAACGCCAAGAGATAGTTACCTTGAAGGCTTTGCTCGAGCCATTTGGACTGCTTGGTTCGAATATGGCTTGCCCACCACCATGAATACGCATTGCTCGCCGCCCTCTGTAACATCTCTTGAAACCTTCTTCGTCTTTCTTTCTCAGTTCCTTCCTACTTGTTCGTTTATGAACGTGTAACTCGTTCTCTTTCAATCGTGTGTGATCAACTCGATTGCGAAGGGAACGAGCATATAAGTAGAGGGAGAAAGAAAAGGAAAACCAAAAGAGGGATGTTATTAGTGAAAATGGTGAGTTGGGTGCTTTGAGTATGAAAAATGAGAAAGAATAAGAAAAGTGGTGGTGGGGATGGAAGGGTATATAAAATGAGGTGTAGTAAGCCTGAATAATTGCATCACCTTTGGCACTAAGTTTTGGGCCAACAACGCATCCAATTAATCAAAATTAAGTATGTTTTTGAAGTATGTTTTTCATTTCTTGCTATCGAATAATTAATGAGTCTTTACTTCTCTAAGATCTAACATATCTGCATTTTAAACGAAGGCATTACAAGGCCTGTTAGAGCGTTTAACCTTTTCATACCAGAGTAGGATTTTTAAGTTTATTAACATGACACCTATATATCCACTACAACAAAATCGGATTTATAAGACACTTCCAATTTCTAAGCGTCCTAATAGACCTATTTATAGGACTTAGTTTACAAGACCAAAAAAAATAAAGCATCTTATCTAAAGGTGTTGTGATAAGTTTATATGACATTTTTTGACGTTGCAATAAATTTTTTAGGAAACTTGCGTCCCATTACCAACTTTATAGAATACTATTTGAAAAATTGTCCTATAAAAATTTGAGTTTATAGGACACTTTCTCAAAAGTGTCTTTTAAAGTTGTTAATGCGACGCTTTGTATTAAAAATGTCCTAAAAACTTGTTAAGAAGCCCAAAAACGTAATATTAACTTATTACAACAGCTTTAGATATGACGATGTATATTTTAGTTATATAAATTAAGTCTTATAAAACGGTTTATTGAGACGCTTAGAAATTAGGGACGTCCTATAAACCCAATTTTGTTGTACTGATTTTAAGGGTTGTTTAGTTAACTTGTTGGGAGAGAGTCCCTCGTTTTGTTAGCTGTATTTTTTATTGTTTGATCTATTTCATTTGCCAGAAATGCCGCCTCATTTCCATAAGAAACTATATATCTTATACAAAAGCATTAAAAAAGTTATTTGAAACAATAAGAGTGGTGTTTAATTGGTTTGAGCTTGGTTCCAAAGGTCAAAATACCAAGAGGTCTCAGGTTCAAATCCAAGGAGGAATAAAAATCCCCTTGTGGCCACGGAAGTTCAAATGCGGTGACTCCAGGTTATCTACAAAACAGATGGTCGTTCTAAGATTAGTCGATTCGCATAGCGGATTGGATATTCTGGTTAATAAAAAAAAGTTATTTGATGACCTAAGAAGTTCTTTCCATAATGATCTTGTACGAACTTTGACAACCTAATATGACTTGAAAAATAATGATTCTATCAACTTTTTTTTATAGTACATCACGTAAAAAGTGTTTTTTAAATATATTTTTAAAAAATAATCCTATAAAATATATTTCTAAAGTATTCGATCAAAAGACTTGTACAAAAAAAAGATCCAATTTTTTCGTCTTCTTCTCGAATCGGAGAAGAAAATCAACTTTGTTCAGTTCTTTATTTTAGAAAACGTAATTTTAAAAGTTTAATTGTAACAAAATATACTATATTTTTATACAATTGAGGGTATACATTTTTATATAACTAAAATATATACTATAAATTTGTGAAACAAAAAATTATTATAACCTTTTAAATAATAAATTCTTTTTAAAAAAAGATTTATTAAAATTTATGAGATGCATTGTTTTAAATCTTAATTTATCATCGTATATATTTTTGTTTGTGAATTATGATGAATGTAAGTGAAAAGAAATCCTTTTCAAGGAGAACGTGTGTTGCACCTTGCGACGACAGCTTCGCATTCACGTAAAGGAATAAAGCAAATCCTTAATTTTACGCCTTTTCTTTTTTATTATTGATCGGAATCACAACTCTCTCTACGTCTTTTGTCGCTAATTTATAAAAGAATGATGGGTTTTTAGTTAAGTTATAATATGGGTTAAAAAATACGTATGTACAGAGTGCACACTCATATAAGTTAGCTAGAACTTAGAACTTGGGAAGTTCCAAGGGGATATGGTGGTGTAGCAGATGATGTGACTGCATTGATGGTAGTTGTAGTAGTTTAGTGTCAACAACAGTACGTGTTGATGTTGAGTTCTTCCCGTTGATTGATCAGTGGGGTTTCCACCATCTTATAACCGTTACGTTGAATATCGTAACCGTCCAATAGTTGCCCGTATATTCCAGCAACTATATCATTTTATGAGGCATTTATTGTCGACTTTAACATACGAACGCTTATGGGTTCTCTAGATTTAAAGGTTATGATTTTTGCTTAAATCGTCTTCAAGTAAATTTGGTGATAGCTAGACACATAGGGTTGAACTATTATTTAAGGATAGCAAATTCTTACATGATCTCGGATTCTTATCATTTAGGGTGCGTTTGTTACGTAAACGACACTGAACAAGATCTACGAGACATGGCTAGATGGCGAGAATAAGGTAGATCTTAGAATTTTTTGGGTTAGAGGTATGAATACTTGAATAAAATCTTGGATTTTGTATCAGATAACACTTTTCAAATACAACATTTCACCCCTTCAAGCGTAATTGGGTTACCCAAAATATGTATTGAGCTAATCCAAAATCTCACTCTCATTCTAAAACAAAACTCTAGGTATATAAAAATGAGACATAAATTACCTTTTATAGATACTTATTCATCTGTCAATTAAGGGTGGTTAAGTAGTTATTTGAAGGTAAGAATAACTACCGATAGATAAGATTAATAACGGTTACTGCATCAAACTTCATATTTTGATCTGAAGTTCAGAAAGCTACATTCCTTCTCAATAAAAGTTATAGAATACTACATGCAACTTTCCTTGGGAGGGCGCTGCCCCAAGACCCCCACTATATGGCTATCTAAGGGTAAAGGTGACATAAACAAGTGTTCAATCTGCACCGCTAACTTGTCTTAATGCTCAACCTTGAATTTTCATCTATTTCATGTCAATCTCAATTACAGCAAAATGTTTGATGATACTAAAATCAACAATAATAGAAAATTGAAAGAAATTGTGCAAGGTTTAGGGTTTTAATTTCACACTAATGGTTTAATAATTTACCAATCTTGTCATATCTTCCTAATTTTTGTTGCACCTATTTAGGTGGAACAAAAAATGCATTTTTGTCCCACTTAATCTTATCTCGTTTTAGTCTAAATATCACACTAAATGTAGGACAAAAGTTCTTGTAGAGTCTTGTGTCTTGTTGTGTCTAACGTACCAAATGCCCCTTAATGATGGGTTGTTTGAAGAAGTAGAATCGGTGTTCTTCATGTTATGCCTTAGACATTTCTATCAAATTCGGGAAAATCACAATGGGCAGTGGTGAGGATGATTATTCACTATGTAAAGGAATATCACGTCATGGGTTTATATTTAGAATGATCAACAAATATGACATAGTCTGTTATTGTGATTATACCTATGATGGGTGAGTCGAAAGTCCATTTCAGGGTACATATTTTGGGATAAACAAGTTGAAATCAAAACTTGATATGAAAGACCTTGACTAAGGCAAAGCAAATTTGAGTATGGAGATTTTATGGAATAGAAAGTCTCATATTTTGATGTTGACAAATAGAGAGTAGATACAAACGATACTTAGGTGACATTTGTTTTTTAAGAGGTAAAGTCTTAAGTCGTATTTCACTTCTGATTGATAAGAGGTGGTGTTGAAGTCTGAAATTTGAATCAATAAGAGTGTTTGTTTTTGTAAACTGATAAATGTCTAAATTTGTTTAAATTGTCTATTTTACCTATTAGAAAATTATAGTGTTGGATTTATAGATAGATTTATACGATTTCACAAATTTATTCATTATCATTACGAAATTTACATCTAAATTATATAATTAGCATTCATTTAAGAGAAAATATGCCATTAACGATATCTAACACATTTAAACTTTATTAAAATACATCAATTTAGAGAGATGATGATCGATTTGGTAAGGATCGATTGAGATAAATGATTGAGAAATGCCATTGCTAAGAGTTAGGAGAACAACAAGAGGCAAATAAGGGATTGGTTTATCTCTTACTAGATAAGAAGACAACAACACATAAGTGTCTCTGAAAATTTGTAAAAAACAAACCGCCTGAATGACCCTACCTCTTAACGAGTCAGACATAAGAGCCTAATAAGAGCTTTTTTCTAAAAAACAAACAAGTTCTTAGACAGTTTAATCTTGATCGTGTGAAGTCTATTAAGCATAATGCTCTCTTTAGACATCAAGGTTATAGAAGATGATTGTTTAGCTCACTATAAAGGCAAAATTATATCAAGATGGAAAATACTCTACATGCTAGTACAGTCTTGATCTGAATGTACACATTATTTGATACACATCCCAATCATTCTCAATGTCTGGTACTATTTCTATCAAATTTGAGAAAATCAAAATCGATGATTATTTGCTATTTGAAAGGGATTTCATCTGATTGGATAATATTTAGAATGAGTGACAGTAACATAGTCGATTATTGTGTACGTGCAGGTGATCGAATGAGTAGTAGTCCATTTCGAGGTACGTATTTACTTTATTAGTTGGAGATCATGTTTTCAATCTATCATAACCTTGCCAACCTTGATCGAATTGATAGCCATTGTTGACGATGCTAAGAAAGCAATGTACATGCAACATCTCTTGTTTAATAACAAACTTGGGTAAAATATTGTGGGCGTGAACAATAAAAGCGAAAGTGCTATATATTTGATCACTAGCAATCTAGCGTTTAGTTCGAGGACTAGGAAATCATGTAAGAGGGCGTATATGATTTTTTATTTGCATGAAGAGATATAAAGATTGGTGTAGAATAAAATGTAGCAAATATGTTCACCAATATCCCATACCAAAGTTCATCACAATCTAATTGATCTAGTGTTGTG